CTTTAAGCATTGTTTTATGTTACCTTTTTCCCCTTATCCCATACTTTTAATAACCTTGAATACTATGCTTGTCGCTTCCTCTGATAGGATTTTTTTTTTTTTCGCTTATCACCCTTCGCAGGATTTTTTTGTTTGTTTGGGGGTGGGGGGCGGGGATTTTCACCCCACCTCCGGTTATTTCTAATGGTCCGTCCCTTAATACTGATAAAATCTCGTTCTCCTAGTCGTCCTCCTCTCAGAATCTAAAGCTCTCTGTTGTTTCGGGGAGAGGATTCACTGGTTTCGTGTGTGGACGGAATACCAGACGGAAGGGTGTTTCAAACTGAAGTTCATTCAAATTTTTTCTTCGCTAAAATTTCACCGACTATTGAAAAATACCTTTTGTAAAACTAAGCATGTTATTCATTATTCATTTAACGTTCACTAACTGAAATATTAGCAACTAGAATATCGTCCATTATGTTTCCGTACATTTTCTAAGCGGAATAGAATGTACGAGCTCCCAAAGCGTGTCTATATTCACATTTTTGCAGGCGAAGCGTAATCGCTGTCTTAGTTCGTCCAGTGTTTTGGGGGCTGAATCTTTGTATGTTGTCTCATCAACGATAATCCAGATGGTCTCTAGAGTGTTCATATCACGTGAATTTGCCGGCTGGTCGTCCTTTGGTATAATTACAGTTTGCAAATTCTTCTGATGCCATGCCTGCATGAAGTGTGCACCACCTTTTTTCTCTTCAAGGCTTTCCAACCTTTGTTGGTCACATATCTCCCATCTGTTGTGTTTGAAACTTTGATATTGTTAAGTTGAAGCTTTTTTTTACCTTTCAGTCTTGTTGAATTATTACGCATATACTTACAGCTTTTTCGATAAGATTTCTTACACAGTTTGTAAAACAACGGCCACCTACTCCTTGGAGTTTCCTTGGTTTGTCTTCTAACGCCTTTACTTTTGACCACCTGTTCACTCATTGTTAAGACCTCTTCAACAATTTGGCAATTTCTTTGACTAAATGCCCAGAATATCGTAAAAATAGATGCCTGAGCAGTAGCACAAACAGTGTACGCCTTCATTTTTGCGAAAGAGAGAAAATAAAAGAAAACGGCAGAAATACGAAAACAGAAAACCTACAAAATAGGCAGGAAAAATATTGCGGGAAAAAAACTCGTGTACGGGCACATTTTGAGCAAAAATTAAAAAATGTCATATTTTCTTCAAATTTTAGTTTGAAATTGCTTTGAACAGTTATTTAAAAAAAATTTCGTACCTGAATCAGTTTACATTTGCCAAAAGAATATTAAATGCTATGCAAAAAGTACAATTTACCATCGGAACGAACTTTTGAAACACCCTGTAAATGCGGTTTCAAAAATGTCCGGATTTGTGTGGACGGTCCTTTTCATGATAGTAGGGACTTTAAGATCCAACGACGCGACCGCAACGAGAACGTCGCTTAAAAACTGAATTTGCGTTCTTTCAGTCTTTATCGCGGTTATTCCTATACCCACTTACAACAACAACAACAACAATATAAGCTTTATTTGCATGACTATAATTATGTAGTTACAGTATTGCAAAAGCTTTAACATAAAAAAACCAAACAAACAAACAAACAAACAGGGCGTAACACATCGATAATTCCGATACTCGATCAAAATCGATAAACATCGATAAACATCGATACTAATCAATTGATTAATATCGGAAATCGATAAAAATCGATCGCCAGATTCTTTGTGATTATCGATTTGATCGATTTCGTTCGATTAGTATCGATTTCGTTCGATTAGTATCGATCTAGTTCGATTAGTATCGATTTCGATCGATAATATTGGGCAAGAAAAGGTACTGTTCACGCTTATAGAACGAAGAATATACGTTAGCGAACTAACCTAAGACGTTCGTTAGCGAAACAACTACTAAGCGAAACAACCGGTTTCCCGCTAAAAGATTCCATTTTAATGAAGTTTGTTTGAACAATCTTTTATTTGTCTCTCCTAACCTTTTTGACGCTGTGAAACACTGTAAGACATGAACATATATATTCTTCTCGCGGGTATCGAAACGAAGAAATGATTCACCTTAAAAATTGACGTTAATTACTATCTACATTGTATTTCATATCTTTTAAAACAACAGTAAAACAACAACAGTAACAAAACAACAGTAACAGTAACAGTAACAGTAANAATGAAATTCGTCTTCAATTATACCAGAGTTACAAATAGGACAGAATCTATCGTTGCGGGAAGTTTGATTATATCTTCCAGTTTCAATCATGAGTTTGTGGTTACTTTGTCAAATGTAAGCGAACCCTCCTCAATTTGAATTCCAAGGGACCATATCCAAGCTCAGAGAGAGAAATAAAATTTCGTCGTTACTTGTTTACGTTCTCCATAAAACGTGAAATTAGGCATCTTCACGTCGTAGTCGTGCTAAAACAGCAAAAAAATGTACAAAAATTTGTGATGCACGTGCAAAGTTATTGTTTTGCTTATTAAACCTATTTTTTTTCTACCTTCTCGTTGCGGTCACGTCGTTGGATCTTAAAGTCCCAAGTGTCAATCTACAAATACGACCAGAATCATTTGGTTTTTTTTTTTAATGAATTCTTTCACATTTAATTCGGTAAATTCAGAAGCCTTAGTTTATATGAGAAAGCCAAATTCTGAGGGATTCGAAAAAAGGCCGTTTGCGCGATGACGTCATTTTACAATACAAGATTCCTTCAGGGTTTTGCTTTCTTCTTCAAGTTAGGGCTTTTGTTATTTAAACCTCAGTGGAATTACCAAATTCAAATATGAGAGAAAAAATGAAATGAATTCCTTTACTAGCAAAAACAAGTCATCGCGTAAATAGCCAATTAGACCCTGTGGCCCCAGTAACCTTGCAGCAGTACTGTTCAGAAGATATCCCTATGGGTCGCAGTGCTTTTGTTTTCGGGCTAGGTTGCAAACTTTGTTAGTTCATATCGTTCTCCCTAGACTACGAGTAGTCCCCCATTTTTTCTCAGGGATATTAGAGCGAGCGAAACGCAAGCGCGCGTAAAAATCACCCCACGCAAGAAAGGCGACACGCGGCGGGGAGAGAGAAGAAAAAAATAGTGGGTTCGGCTAGAGCCCTTTTTCGATGGTAAGGTCACCTTCCTAGCTAAGTCAACTTTTCTCCAAGTAAACACTTGGCTTGCCCAGCCGGCTCAACTCGGTTAAAGCGAGAGAATCAGAATATGCGAGAGCGCTGTTTTCAGCTAGGGCAAAAGGGCCAACTGATTCTCATATAAACGCTTGCTTAAGTTGACTCGGGCTGGGACGGTGACCCCGAGAAACGTTTTCTATATATAAACGGGGACTCATTCGCATGTTTTCTTGACATAGGTTCAATAAACAAAACCATAACTCTGCACGTGCATCACACGGTTTTGTAAATTTATTCGCCGTCACTACGTTATATAGCCGGACATAAGTACCCGAAAACAAATTTATTTTTCTCTATTTACACTTTGATGTCAGTGCTACCTAAATTGACTAACTTAGCCAATTAAGATAACCCCCACAAATTTTAAAAGTACGCCAAATAGCTTTATAAATGACGTTTCGCTACCGTCGCCTCCCTAATGTCGGGCGTATTAAATCTCGAGCAACTGACGTTCAGTCAGAGTCAATCTCTGTATTTTGAACGCCATACGTTAGTAGTTAGGTCTCACGTTAGGTTGTCTGCTTTGGACTAGAAAAGGTACCAGAACGATCGAGAAACGTACCCAACGTGGTTTTGAACCCGGCGGGCTAAAATTGACTGGACACCTCCGAGACGAAAATATCGGTCACCTGGAGCGAAAGGCGACGGGGAGAAGAGATAGGCTGGGAACGAGATTGATTTACAGTTTGATGTTCCTGTATAATAATAGCCTCCGATCATACTCTCCCTAAAAAAACGTAAAACGCCTGTTTAAAAAAAGACGATGAAACATGAGAAACTATAGCTTTACACTATTTCCTGTTTCTGTTTTCGTCTTTTGTGGGTATGATTTGTATTTTTGGATTCTGTTTCAGTTTTGCGGTTTAATTTTGTTTTTTTGAGTGTGTTTCCTGGTGGGGATGCTTATTTCCGTTTTGGGATTTGTGTTTCTGTTTTCTGGTAGTGTTTTTCCGTTTTGGGTTTCCGTTTTGTCTTATTTCTTTCTGTTTTGGGTTTGTTCTCTGCTATTTTTGTTGCTGTTGTTGTTGTCGTGTGGTTTTTTTGTTTCTATCAGCCACCCTATATATTTGACAGTCCTCTGCATCTAAATCCAACCACTGGAGAACACTTCAAAACTCCGTCGAAAATTTCTTCACTGAGATCAAATCGTCCAGGTAAGAAATAATCTCCTTTAACTTGGAATTTGTCTAATCAGATATTTCTGCAAGGTTTATTTTGATTTCCTGCTGTAGTTTTTTCCCTCTCCTTGTTACTTAGAAATAATTAATAATAAGTTTGGACCGGTTTGCGACCGCCAAGCAAAGTATGTTTGTTCCATGTTAAGCAAAACGTCCGACTAGAATATTGTTTTAGGCGATTTGTGTTTCTCTCCCTTCTTTGTCTCCCTTTTCCGCTACTCTCCTCTACGTCTTTTCCATCCCTCCCCCTGTATTCAGCGCACGAGGCTTGGTAACGTCATTGTTGTGTGGGGGTAGTACATCATACTCAACAAGCTCGGCGATGTTTGTGACAGGAATTATATGTTTATTTCGAAGTAATTGTCCGCGGGGAGGCCAGAAATATTGTCTTATAACACCAATATTCAGAAATTGTCAAAAAAATTCCGGATAAGCGTCAGTTGGAGTAAATCTAGAGAGAAAGGAGTGGAAAGTTCTGTCATGTCTTATCTGTCTAATGGCAACATACAGTGTATTCTAAGACTTCAAATGTATTAATGAAAATTATTTTTGTTTTACTCCCCCTCAACGCTCCTCAAAGAGACCTTACTGCAAAGAAACAGTTCCACTTTGAATACTAAAACTTGGAAATGGCAGAAAGAATACTACAAGATATAGCTGAACAAAACAAGCGTCTTACAATAGCGCAAATCAATAAAAACACGGAAGAGAAAGCAGAAGCCTACCACAATCTAGGCAGAGCTTATTTCTTACTCAAGGACTTCCATCAAGCAATAGAGTACCTCAAGCAATACCTGAGCATTGCTGAGGAAGTCGGTAACAGAGCAGGTCCAGGACGTGCCTATGGAATTCTCGGCTGTGCTTATGGATCCCTCGGTGACTCCAAACGAGCAATAGAGTACACCGATAAATGCTTCATCATTGCCAAGGAAGTTGGTGACAGGGCAGGTGAAGGATGTGCCTATGGCAATCTCGGCGTTACTTACCACAGCCTTAAAGAATTCCAACAAGCAATAGAGTACCACAATCAACACCTCAGGATTGCCAAGGAAGTTGGTAACAGGGCATGTGAACGCATAGCCTATGGCAATCTCGGCCTTACTTATTACAGCCTTCATGAATTCCAAAGAGCAATAGAGTACACCAATAAAAGCCTCATCATTGCCGAGGAAGATGGTAACAGGGCAGGACAAGGGGAAGGCTATCGCATTCTCGGCAATATTTCTTTCTTTCTCGGCGAATACCAACGAGCAATAGAGTACTTCGATAAATGCTTCATCATTGCCAAGGAAGTTGGTGACAGGGCAGCTGAAGGATGTGCCTATGGCAATCTCGGCTTTGCTTATTACAGCCTTAAAGAATTCCAACGAGCAATAGAGTACCACAATCAACACCTCAGCATTGCCAAGGAAGTTGGTAACAGGGCATGTGAAGGATGTGCCTATGGCAATCTCGGCGTTACTTATTTCAGGCTTTATGAATTCCAAAGAGCAATAGAGTACACCAATAAAAGCCTCATCATTGCCGAGGAAGATGGTAACAGGGCAGGGCAAGGAAAAGGCTATAACAATCTCGGCAATATTTATTTATTTCTCGGCGAAAACCAACGAGCAATAGAGTCCACCAATAACTGCATCATCATTGCCAAGAAAGATGGTAACAGGGTATTGGAAGGCGTAGCCTATTCTAATCTCGGCACTATTTATCACACGCTTCAAGAATTCCCACGAGCAATGGAGTGCCACAAGAAACACCTGAGCATTGCCAAGGAAGTCGGTGACAGAAAAGAAAAAGGACGTGCCTATTTAAACATCGGCCAAGTTCGTAAATCCCTCGGCGACGTGCCACGAGCAATGGAGTACTACAAGCAATGCCTGAGCAATGCCGAGGAAATCGGTGACAGGGAAGAACAAGGACGTGCCTATTGCCGCCTCGGATGTTGTTATTTAGATCTCCACGAGTTGAAGGAAGCAATAGAGTGTTACAAGCAACACCTGAGCATCTCCCAGGAAATCGGTGACACGATGAAAGAAGCATGTGCACATAAAGGTCTGGGTCACTCTTTGTTGGAATCACATTCTTTGAATGAGGCTTTAGAACATTTTAGATGCAGTGTTAAAATCTTTGACACTATTAGAGCCAATTCTATCTCGGAAGATCAATTGAAAATAAGTTTCTCTACGAGTCATAGATGTGCCTATACTCATTTATGGCAAGTTTTAATAATGCTTCAAAGGAATGACGAGGCTTTATACGCTGCTGAGAGGGGACGAGCACGGGCTTTGCTCGATGCCTTAAAAGTAACTTATGGCCTTACATCACTTTCTCTCAGGTTAATTGAATCTGAAGAAGAAGTCAAATATCTTTCAATGAACACAGCTGTTTTAACAGTTTTCCTTGCCCTGGAATTGAAAACAGTCAATATGTGGGTATTGCGAAAAGAGGGCAACCCTATTTTTAGGAAAGCGGAGTTTGAAATTGGAGGTGCACACGAAGATTCTTTTGCTCTCCTTTTAGACACTGCTTTGAAAAAAATGAGGGCTGGCGTCGGTATTAGGTGCGAAAATCGGTCAATGGATCAGCTGAGTGACGACCCAACTTCAACTACTCGAGACGATGATCAAACATCGAAGCCATTAAGGGGAACCACCGACTGTTTACAGCCATTATATGATGCAGTTATTGGTCCCATTGAAGACTTGCTTGATGGTGATGAATTAATTGTAGTCCCAGACGGCGCTTTGTCTAAAGCTCCTTGGGCAGCCCTGAGTGAAACTTTAAGGATCCGTACTGTTCCCTCACTGACAAGTTTGAAAGTCATCACAGATTCTCCAATTGAATACCACAGTAAAAGTGGATCCCTGCTCGTTGGAGATCCATGCTTGAAGAAAATTACAAATAAGTGGGGGAACCCCATTTATGATCCTCTGAAATACGCAAGAATGGAAGTGGAGATGATTGGAAAAATTCTAAAGAGTCAACCCTTAACAGGTGAAGATGCAACCAAAGAAGCGGTACTTCAGAGAATCAAGTCAGTGTCTTTGGTTCACATTGCAGCCCACGGAAAGCCGGAAACCGGAGAATTTTTTTTGGCCCCAGACCCCCGATGGGAATCCGACAAACCTAAGG